CTTTCTCTTGTTTTTTCTCTCATTTTAGTGGTGCAAATCCTCCAGAAGCTTCCTGATAAAGAGCACTTGGGAAGTAAAATTACTAAGTCTTTATGTGTTTGAAAAAGTCACCTTCACACTTGATTGATTTGTTGAGTTTAGATTCAAGATTGGAAATAATTTTCCCTCAGATGCGTTGCTTCATTATCTTCTAGTTTTCAGTCTTGTTTTTGAGAGTTCCAAAGCCATTCTGATTCCTGGTCTTTTGTATGTGACCATTTTCTCTCCCTTTCTTACTGTCTGGTGGTTTATAGAATCTTCTCTTTTTTTACAGTTTTAAAAATTATCTTTGTGGAGCGAGCCCGGTGGCATGGTGATTAAGTTTGTGTGCTCTGCTTTGGCAGCCCAAAGTTTGCGGGTTTGGCTCCTAGGCAGGGACCTATACACTGCTCATCAACCCGTGATGTGGCAGCATCCCACATACAAAATAGAGGGAGATTGCCACAGGTGTTAGCTCAGGCCATTCTTCCTCAAGCCAAAAGAGGAAGATTGGCAACAGACGTTAGCTCAGGGCCAATCTTCCTCACCAAAAAAAAAAAAAAAAAAAGTCTTTGTGGTCTAAGTCTGTTTTCATCCACTGTGCTGGAGTAATTGATAAATCCTTTTAATTTAGAAGGTTATGTACTTCACTTCTGGGATTTTCTTTTCCTTTAAATTATTTAATTGATAGTTTTCTTCCCTCTTTTCTTTTTTTCTTTTAGGGTTCCTATTATTGAGGTGTTGAGATTCCTGGATTGGCCTTCTAATTTTCTTCTCTATTTTCTAATTCTTTTTACTCTACTTTTCAAGAACTTCTCAACTTTAACTTCCAAACAAACTACGTCTAAGTTTTAACTTTCTGCAATCATGTTTTTGATTTTAATGAGCTTTTTTTATTTTTGGAATATTCCTTTGTTATATCATTCTGTTCGTGCTTCACGAACGTAAAATTTCTGTAACTTTGTGAGGACGTTAATGATAGTTTTTTTGTTTTGTTTTGTTTTAAGATTTCTATTCCTTGAATGGCTTTCTCAAAGTTTCTTTTACTTTGTTTCTTTGGATGTTTCCTTCGGTGGTGGAGATTATCTGTTCATGTTTAAGAAGAAATGATTAAGAAGCTGATTGAAAATTCTACATGTGAGTGTGAGGCTTGTTAACCTTGAACTTTTCTGTTGGATGATGTGGCTGTACAATTTGTTAAGAACTCCTGATATTAAAATTGTTAGATCTTCTTAAGCTAACCAGATTTTCCATAGAAGATTCATCCAGTCTGCTGCCGGGAAGTTAAAGGTCTGACTGCTGTCATCCTTGGAGCTGAGGGGGAAATGTTTATTGGGTGTTGGGAGAGAGGGATTGGAACAAAGGATGTTACTTTGTGACACAGCTTTCATCTTATTCTCCTTATTTTACCACTTCCTCCATGTCCTCATTTTCGAGGAACCTGATTGCATTTGCCAGGATGGGATAGATTATTCATATTGGTAATAACCAAATCCCAATTCTCTATGACTGAAAATAACACAGCTTTCCTGTATGTCATCCATATCAAAACCCAAGCTAAGGGAGTCTCAATCTCTGTGCTTTCATATTTGCCAAGACAGAGGAAAAGGGAACATGGTGAAATATACTTATATTAAATATCCTTTAAAAAAACCACCACAAGCGACGCTAACGTACGTCTTTTCCGCATTCCGCTTTGTAGCTGAGTTTGTTCTCCAGCTTCCCCTGCTGGCTTAGGGTTTGTCATTTTAAATGGGCTAAACTGGTTACTGTTTGTCCATTTTGATGTTGCTGCTGTCTTTTCTCCTGTTCTTGCTGTTATTTGGTATTATGTCTTGAAAAATTGTTTTAGTTTTAGTGGAGTTTCAGAAAGGAGCGAAATTGGATGCCTATTTTCAATCTGCCATATTTATCTGAAAAACTATGGTTGTAATTTCCTATAAACTGAATGAGCTAATTCTGCAACTTTGCAGTTTGAATGAAAATATATTTAAAGAATGTGATAAGAGAGATGTTTTAGTAAAAGAAGTTGTATTATCATGTGTGTGATGATGTGAACAACATTTTGATCTTTCCAATACTTTCTCTGTATATTGGATTTTAAAAGGTGTTTCTAAATGACAGCACAGCACTTATAAGTAATAGTCATTTGTTGAGTCTTGGAAAAGGCAGTTTATTAAATTTCCCAGAGATGTGTTATTTACTTATGGATTTATTACTTACAAATCCTTTTGCTCATCATGAAGTTTCAAATTCTTTCTTTTATCAAAATTAAAATAGCCAGTAATTTAGTTCTATCAATTATCTGCTGCCCTAAATATATTGCCTAACAACCACAAACTTCAGTGACAAAATTTCATTTTATTTATTATCCATGTATTTTTGCTCATGAGTCTGTCAGTTGCCTGGGCAGGTCTGCTAACACAAGCTTGGCTTGGTTGATGCAGACTCGGCTTGCTCTTGCATCTCTGGTCGACTGGGGGAAGGCCAGACAGTGGTGCTTCTGGAGTGGGGCCAGCTGCCAGCTGGGGTGCCTCAACTCTACGGCATGTGGTGTCTTATTTACTAGCAAGTTTTCCTGGGTGTCTTCATTAGTTTGGGCTGCTATAACAGAATACCATAGATTAGGTGGCTTAAACAACAAGCATTTCTTTCTCATGGTTCAGGAGGCTAGAAATCCTAGATCAAGGCCCTGGCAGATTTAGTGTCTGGTGAGAGCCTTCTCCTGGTTTGCAGAAGGCTGTCTTCTTTTGTGTCCTCACATGACAGATGGGGGTGGGGGTAGGAGTTAAGGCTCTTCCTCTTCTTATGAGGAAACTAATCCCATCAGAGGTACTCCATTTTCATCACTTAATTACTTTCCAAAGGCCCCACCTCCAAATACCATCACAGTAGGGCTTCAACATATGAATTTTGGGGGACACAGACATTCAGTCCACAGCACTGGGCTTGTTCTCATGAGGGTAGCAGGGTTCCAAGAGAAAAAGCAAAAGCTTTTAGGTCTTAGGCTGGGGGTGGAAATATTATCAGTCTTGCTGTATTTTTCTGACCAATGTAAGTCACAAAGACAGCTTAAATTCAAAGGAGGGGGATGGACTCCCCTTTTTGGTTGGATGGCTCGTGGTATCAAATTGCAAAGCATGTGGAGACAGGGAGAAATAAGAATCAGGTCTGTTTTAGCAAACTCTAGCTTCCAGAGATGTCAAGTGACAGGTCATTAAAAATAATTTTTGATGATAAAAATATAAATGGGGCATATAGCTCAGAAGGAGTTTAAAGAATTGAATGACCTTGTAAGACCTAAACTCCTTTTGTTCTTGGCTATGGATACATTTCCTCAGTGCTTACATATACGTCAAAAAATTTTAACTAATACCTAACCTCTCTCATTAAAAAATAGCTCATGCAGATTATTAAGAGATGATTTCCAATAAAATTTTACATTTCATATTTAATAATTACTTATAATGTTGAAATATGTATTATTTAAACTGTATATACTATAGTCATAAGAAAATTCATTCTATAAAAAAGAATTTTTAACACTTAGAGCATTATATATTGCACAGAAAAGTAGAATAATGAAAGTTTTAAAAAGTATGAAGCATAAAAATATATTCCGTTAAAGTAAAATTATGTATGGAGATAGTAGAATTAATATAAGTTTGAGGAGAAAAGGGAGATAGTGGAATTAATATAAGTTCAAGGAGAAAAAGGAACAGTATGGGATCACCAATGGTTAAAAGAAAACTTGTTTACATATTTTTAGGTGGATATTTGTGTATGGCAAATCACTATTCCATTGGATGTAATTGAAAGGGTGATATAACCATTTTATTTTAAAATGTCATTACTTATGACATTAAGTATATCTTTTCCAGTTGTTATGTTTAGCATGAAAAGTTTTAGATGTCAACTGAAATGTAGAAAAGATTACATAGTTAAATAAATAGATAGATAGATGCATATGTATGTGTATGTCTGTATGTTAGGGATGCAAGGAAAATAAAACTAATTTAGGATCTTTGTTTTGGGCCTTACAGGACTCCATCATACTTGGCCTCTGTCCTCTATTCTTGCCTTCATATGGTGACATCTAGAGCCCGCCATTCATATGTCACGCTTAAAAAAAGTCATTTATTATCATTTTTTTCCTGAATGCACAAATGATTACTTTTCATTATAAAAAATAAATTATAAAAGCCATTACAAATTTAATTTGACTCTGCGTCATTAAACTCTAGCATCTTGGTTCCCCAGTGAGTGTCGCTAAGATCTCTTGACTTCTTGAGGTCTGCAGTCCTACTATCCAATGTGGTAGCCAGTAGACACACATGATTAACTCAAATTAAGATGTGTTATAAGTGTAAAATACACTGAATTTTGAAGATTTGGTACAGAAAGAAATGTAAATAAAAAATAGACCGTTAATATTTTGAAGGTGTTTTGGGTATATCAAGTTTAACAAGATATATTATAAAAATTAATTTTACCTGCCTCTTTTTACATTTTTAGTGTGGCAGCCAGGATATCTAAAATTGTATATGTGACTCACCTTATATTGCCATTGTGAGATCTTGTCTCAAAATCAGGGAGACCTGGGGAGACCTGGGGGTCTTGGAGGATTGTCTTTGCTGTTACGGTTTTCTCCTTAGAATCTTCTCTGTGCCCAGAGAGGTAAAGAGCACATGACTTGTTTTTTAGGTGAGATTCTCCCCTACAAACCTTGAAGGGTTCAACAGAATCAAGTAATCAGATCAAATTGTTGTCCAAGAGATAGTGAAAAGATGATAAAGGAATGAGGGGAAGTCATTTCTTCACACCCCAGGTGTCTGTTACGTGCAATCATTAGAAAGAGGAGATTGAAGACAACCAGAGAACGGGGTCCTGGAAAAGACTGGGTATCCTGAGGAGGTGTGTTCCCTGGAGGCCTTTAAGCTAAGGTGACTCATCTGCCTTTTCTTTCTTTTTGGTTGTTCCAGAACGCTGCGATGACTGGGGACTAGATACCATGAGGCAGATCCAAGTGTTTGAAGATGAGCCAGCTCGCATCAAGTGCCCACTCTTTGAACATTTCTTGAAATATAACTACAGCACAGCCCATTCAGCTGGCCTGACTCTGATCTGGTATTGGACTAGGCAGGACCGGGACCTTGAGGAGCCAATTAACTTCCGCCTCCCTGAGAACCGCATTAGTAAGGAGAAAGACGTGCTCTGGTTCCGGCCTACCCTCCTCAATGACACGGGCAACTATACCTGCATGTTAAGGTAGCCTGACTGTTGGTGGTGACTTTCTCTTTTCCCTTTAGTTCCTGGGCCTTTATCCAGATGATGCATGTGCTGTGAAGCTGGGGAGGGGAAGGAAGCATCTAGAAAAAGTTACATTTCACTTCACTGAGCTTAGCTGAGGCTGGCTGAAAGAGACATGCAGAGAAAATGATTGTGCTCCTGAGAACGTTCTTCATAAGTGGTTCCTTTTCAAACCCTGACCTATGTCAACACTATCTACAGGTGGAGCCTTGTTTGTTTGTTCCTTTTCCCTGCCATTGGAACCTCCTGTATACAGTTCTGTTTCACCTGGAGATATCTATTTCCCTAGACAGTGAGCAGGGAGGGTGGTAGAACCCATTCATATCTGTTATTCTTAGCATCTTTCAACATGCCTGGCACAGAATAAAGCCTCGGGATGCCTTATAGAAGAAAGAATAGTTGGAAGCATCGCATGTATTTAGAACAATGCTTTTCAAACTTTTCCACCAGAATTTCTCTAAGAAGCACATAAACACCAGATCCCTAGGAATCTAAGAATATAATCCAAAGCACCCTACAAAATTTCTATCAAATACACTTTTTTTCTTGAAAGTTCATGTAGGTTTTGCATTTTACTCCACAATATACCTATTTTTCTTTTCCTAAAGATTAAATGTTATTTTTCCTGTGAAAAAAACTTTAAAAAAAACTGAGGCTCCTCCAAAGAATAACCATTTCAAGGCTTAGTTCTTTTGCTGCATTTTTCCCCAAGGTCCCTTTTTAGTTTTTGTTTCTTAGCGCTCTTCCCTAAACTTTTCTACCTTTTACATTATAGAAGCAGGGCCATATGGCTGTTAAGGCCTGAGTATAACTTTACTGTTATTTACCAATATCCAGATTATCACTTCAGTTTACCTGTCTGCCTATCTTCTACGTCTCTAAAGAAAATCTAGAATTAAACTTGTCTAGTGGGGGCAACAGAGGCTTCCCATTGTCATGAGAGGATTCCTAAACTGACAATGACCTTAAACTGAACCATGTGAAATTGGAGGCCTGATGTCTTTAAGGCCATAAAGTTAAGATTCATCTTCTAAGATTTTATTGCTTGAGTTCCTGCTTCAATACCCCTATTAAGATAACATCCAGATTTGACTTTTGGAACTGAAAAAGCCAGGCTAACCACTGTTCATCACTTTTTTAAAAAGTCAGAGCATGTGTCTTATTAAACGGAAATTTACCTTCTATAACTTCCACCTATAGAATACCTTCTATCTGGTAGACCTTTTGTTATTTGTAAGTAGAGACCATGCCTGCCACTCTGTCTTCCCACTTCATTACCATTGTCATTTAAACCCCCTCTCTTCCCATCTTGGGCAGAGGAATGCATGCCCCCACATCTTCCATTGTATTTAGTCTTCAGTCATTGAGTATCTAATATGTGTTTGATACCATAAATAGAAATCACAAAAAAGGGTGGAAAGTGAATGACCCAGTTACCCATCACCCTAAAAAATCAGTTATTTTTATTATCTATGTTCCTTTTATTGTTTTCCTGTATGTAGACACAAGTTTTACATCACTCCATTCATTTAACAAATATTTTTTCAGCACCTACTAAAAGTTTAGACACTGTACTAGATTCAAGGAATAAAAGGAAACACACATGGTCATGCCCTTGTTTGAACTGTGATAAATTCAGTTAAGGAAATGTCCAAGGTGCTCAGAGAATGAGAGACCTAATTTAGATATGAGGTGTGTAGACGATGACACAGAAGACCTCATGTGAAAGGTGGGATGATGGGAAAAGAGCCCTCCCAGCAGAGGAAAGGACCTGTGCAAACATTAAAAACGTAAATGGAATCCCCCAGCCATCCTAACCAGTTTTATGTGTTTGTTAGTTTTTTTCCTTCATGCTTCATTTTTTTTTTTATGGATGAATACAACAACTTTGTATTGTCATACCATAATTTTCTTTACAGTCTTCTTTTTTCATAGATTTTTCTATTATTTCCGATGCTTTCCTTGCTGATTTGGTACTGGGTGGATATGTTTGATCATGTGCTCTCTCTATTCTCATTTTTCCGTACTTCCATCACGTGAAAAAATTTCCAGAAATTGGATTACCAGAGCAAAAGCTAAAGCTTTTTTTATGGCTTGGGAAGCATATTTTTTATTTTCCAAATTATGGTTATACCTTTGTCAGCCATGAGTTAATATGCTGTCTTCACCTTTGCCTTTCCAGCACTGAGTATTATTGAGAATGTTTTAAGGGTAAAATTAAACATATTTACACATATACATGCATACAAATGCACGTATTTAGGAACATATCTAAAAATGTAAATATTTTAGTATATCAATAGTAGCTAATTGTGTCTGTTTTATTCTGTGATTTCAACTGGTATAGGAAATACTTCCATAACACATTTAATTCTTACATGAACTTACACATATAAATAAAGCCTCAGTACATAGCATTACGTCACTTAGCTCGTTTTAATATGTTTGGGGCATTAAAATAAGTGCAAATGAGACTGCCCGTTCATTGCATATTTCTCTTTTCAGGAACACCACGTATTGCAGCAAAGTTGCATTTCCTCTGGAAGTTGTTCAGAAAGAGACCTGTTTCAATTCTTCCATGAAACTCCCAGTGCAAAAACTGTATTTAGAATATGGTATTCAGAAGATCACTTGTCCAAATGTAGATGGATTTTTTCCTCCCAGTGTCAAACCAACCGTCACTTGGTATATGGTAAGCAAACGAGAGGGCATTTTACCCTCTCTAAAATGGCAATAGTAATTTGTTGAGTTAATGTAGAAACAGATTCTTCTGATCAGATTTTTAATTTCTTTCTTAACAACTTTATACAAGTCTTTTACCACTTTCTTACTTTGTACCATTTTAAAGGAAGTAGTGGAGAAAGCTTTGGCTCAACCCACCATTTCTTAAATTACTTTCACTGGACTACTAGAACTGCCTTATTTCTATTAACTTCCTGTGAAATACAACTTGAGAAATGTTGCCCACTTCCACTCACTGCGGAGTGAAGTTAGAAGCTGCCAAGTGAAGTGGTGAATTTCATCTCCTTGCTTAGTCAGTACTGTATTTTATTACTTGTATGCGTTTTCACGTTGCCCTCATTTGTGGGCACAGTCCATCTGTGATCTCCCCACATCTGAGAGATTTGGAAAGTATTTAATCAAAAATGAAAGTGTTGGATGTGGCCCTGGTGGCAGCAGGATAGTTTCTTAATCTCTTCAAATGTCCATATAAGCCAAAGCCAAAAACTCCTGGACAACAGTTAAAACTCAGCGACAAGTTGTCCACAAGAATAACTTTCAATAAAGCAAGTGAGACAAACCACGAACATGACCGTATAGCATCAGTGTCTCTAGGGAAGGGAGCAGATGGAAATAGTGTGGTATCTGGCAGATTGAGAACAGGAGAAGCCCAAAAATGCCGACGGGTGCTCACTGGAAAGTATGGTGAGCCAGCCTGAGAATAGCAGCTGAAACTGGGAAGGGTTTTGCTCTCTACTCGAGGATGAGTCCAAGAGGCATATTATGAGAAATTCTGAGGGGATTGAAATAGTTCTACTGCCTCAGAACTCTGAAAAACAACCACCCACACTGGGGAGAAACTGCTGGGAGTGGAATCAAAAGTAAACAGGATAAGGACAATATAAAGGAAAGAAAGAGAAAGACCGGCTGAAAATGGAGAAGCAGAACACAGATGGGAAAGCTCAAGACCATAGTTTTGAAGAGGGATCTCTGTGAGGTTAGAAAATTCTGCCAAAGTCTAAACCTCAGAAAAAAACTAGTTTCACATGAAAATGAGCAACAAGAGGAATCAAGGTAAAATCCCATTCAAAGTTATAAGAAAAAGGAGAGTAAGAAGCAAAATAATATTTCTGTAGGAAAAAAAAGCATGCCAGAAGGACATATTGTAACCTACTATTTCAAAAATGAGCTAAAAGACATTAAAAAATGATACAGGAGGAGAAAGAATCAAGTAAATAAATGATAATTAGAAAAGTCCAGGGACTGGCCCAGTGGCGTAGCCGTTAAGTTCAGGCGCTCCGCTTCAGCGGCCTAGGGTTCCCCAGTTTGGATCCCAGGTGTGGACCTACGCGTTACTTATCAAGCCATGCTGTGGCAGGCCTCCCACATATAAAGTAGAGGAAGATGGGCACGGATGTCAGCTCAGGGCCAAGCTTCCTCAGCAAAAAGAGGAGGATTGGCGGCAGATGTTAGCTCAAGGTTAATTTTCCTCAAAAGAAAGTCCAGAAATTATATAACTCAGTAAAAACTTAGAAAGAAGATAATGATCATTTCAGAAGTGAAACTAAAATAAGACGAACGTAAGAGCAAAATGATGTGATGGATAATGCCTTAAGATGAATAGAAAATGGAAGGGAGAGACAAATTTTTAAATCAAAAATAAATGATCAATAAAATTAGGAAGGTTAGAATGGATATACAATGTCTTATAAAGTAAACTTTAAGATAATGAGTGTTATCAGAGCTAAAGAGGACTTTTCAGAATAACAAAAGGGTCGGTTTATCAGGAAGGCATATAAATAATAAAAGCATATATGCCTAATAATAGTATTTCAAAATACATGAAGGAGCTGACAGAATTAAAGGAAGAAAGAAACAATTCCGTAATCATAGTTGAAAATTTTAGCATCTATGTCTGTTTGTCATTAATGAGTTAAAAGCCAACTTTCAGAGTTTTCCACTGGTCAAAGATGGAACAATTTGAACTTCAGTAAGGATATTAATTGCAATTGGTTGAATTCCATAAATTGAGTTTAAATCCATAAGTTTATAATGATATTTCAAAATAGTTAATTGGTGACATTTGGATGATGATAGGAAATCAATTTGTTATCTTGAAAATTCGTAAATAAAGAGAAAAAAATCCAGTATTTATTCTGCCTTTCCTTTTAGAAATGTACACTGAGTAATGAAATAGTGCTGGGAAGTATGTTTTTATAGAAATATATAATCACTTTGCAACTCCCAGTGAATTAATAAATCTAAGCATTACACATCAATGACTGCTAATATCACAAGAAGAAAAACAGCCAGACGCATTCCTTTTGATGGAAGAACACAGTATTACCTATAATTGTGCCAAATGGATTAAATCTGAGTCTGATAAAACTTTTGGATCCTGCTGCCATTTTGCAGGTAACATAGACAACAGAGGAATGTATTACTCTGTACTGAGTTTGCAATTAGCAAAATTTAGGCTGTGAGAAATTCTATAGGCCAAATGTTTTCGGTTATTCAATAGATAAATTGTCAGAAAAAGAAAGACATGGAGTAGGAATGTATAGATTAAAGGAAACATTTAGGGGCCACCCTGGTGGTGCAGCGGTTAAGTTCGCACGGTCCGCTGCGGCAGCCTGGGGTTCACCAGTTTGGATCCTGGGTGCAGACATGGCACTGCTCAGCAAGCCATGCTGTGGCAGGCGTCCCACATATAAAGTAGAAGAAGATGGGCACGGATGTCAACTCAGGGCCAGTCTTCCTCAGCAAAAAGAGGAGGATGGGCAGCAGATGTTAGCTCAGGGCTAATCTTCCTCAAAAAAATAAATTTTTTTTTTTATTAAGAAGAAACATTTAAAACACTGTAGTGGATGAGGCTGTAGTGTCTAAGGATGCACATATGGGTGATAAAATTGTAAATGAAGACAAGGAAGTGGTTTTACTACGAAAGTATAGACAGTGGTTACTTTGGGGTGTAGTAAAGGAACTGTGATTGACATGGGGCATGTGGAAAGTCTTCAAAGGTGCCTGGCAACATCTATTGCTGGACCTGAGTGGTGATTACAAAGGTGTTGGCTTTATAATACTTCACTAGCTGATACATATGTTTTGAGTGTTTTTTGTATATGTTTTATTTTGTAATGAATGATTAAGAGGAAGGGAGATAGGGAAAGAAGGAGAGCTAAAGAGACAGATTTAAAATATGTACCAACAAAATTGTGATCTATAGACTTTAGTTGGATCATGTTTTATTCAAACAAGCTATAAAACAAATTATGAGAAAATCAGGGAAATCTGAACACAGACAGAATATTGATGATATTAATTATTATTACTTTTTAAACTGTGATAATGGCACTTTAGTTATGCTTGCAGAAGGCATCTTGTCATTTAGAGATACACACAGAAATATGTACAAATGAAATTATATAGTGTTTGTGATTTGCTTTGGAATAATCTTGGGATGCAGTGAGTGGGTATAGATGAAAGAAGACATAACCTGAATTGGTACTTTCTTTTTTTTTTTTTTTTGTGAGGAAGATCGCCCTGAGCTAACATCTGTTGCCAATCTTCCTCTTTTTTTTTTTGCTTGAAGAAGATTAGCCCTGACCTAACATCTGTGCCAATCTTCCTCTACTTCATATGTGGGATGCCTCCACAGCATGGCTGACAAGTGGAGCAGGTTTGCGCCTGGGATCCGAACCTGTGAACCAAGACTGCCAAAGCCTAGCTCATAGAACTTTAACCACTCAGCAACAGGGCTGATCCCCCTGAATTGGTACTTTTAAGGCTGGGTGTAAGTACAGGGGATCATTGTATTTTTCCCTTTGTGATTGTAATTTTCCGTAGTAAAAAGCATAAAAAAGATTAAAAGAATTATATTGACAATTTTACATCAATAAGTATAATATATCTTCCAGTTAAAAAACAATGTGTGTTCATCTATCTGCAGTCCAAGGTCTCTCTTTTCTAACCCTATTCACTTTTTCTATATTTTGAATACTTTGTGATCTGAAAAAAATTGACTTTATTTTCATATTCTATCATTTTCTCTTCTCCTTTTTCCTCATGCATTCCCTCTGCCTGGAATGCTCTCTCTTCTTCCTTTAGAACAGTGCGATTCTACCACTTTCATGAAATGTTCCCTGTTCTTTATAGCTAGAAGTAATTTTTCCCTTATATACTCCCATGGCTATTTATTTATGTATGTTTCAATGTCACTTTTCACTTTCTTTCTTGTTCTGTACTCATTCATCCATGTATACATTCAACACATACTTGCTGAAGATCAACTGTATTCACTGTAATATGTCAGGGTTTAGGGGAACACAATAATTAATGAGATGTATGTCTTCTCCTAAATAGTCCCAGAGGATCTCACAATTTAATTCAGACAAGTTTATAAATAAGAATACTATTCTTATCAGAAAATAGAATTCTGGGGCCGGCCTGGTGGCTCAGTGGTTAAGTGTGCATGTTCTGCTTCAGTGGCCCGGGGTTTGCTGGTTTGGATCCTGGGTGAGGACATGGCCCAGTTTGGCATGCCACGCTGTGGCAGGCATCCCACATATAAAGTAGAGGAAGATGGGCATGGATGTTAGCTCAGGGCCAGTCTTCCTCAGCAAAAAGAGGAGGATTGGCCGCAGTTAGCTCAGGGCTAATCTTCCTCAAAAAAAAAAAAAGTAGAATTCTAAGTTCTACACTAGTGCCAAAGAGAATATATTGTTGATTTTAAGAAGAGGGAGAGATTTATATACATGTAGTCTATGAGACTGACTATTTCTTGAGGGCAAAGTTATACCATATCCATCTCGGTATCTCCAATGATTCCCAGATTTCTGCTTTTCCTGATTGAATGAATGTTGGTGCTGTTACCCAAGGTATGAAATAGTAGAGGAGGAGCAGGTGTGGGGAGCAAGTAATAGGTTTAGATAATGTCATATCAAGTCATATGTGTCTCTGAGCCTCCTAGGT